ATGTATGCATGCATGGATACAGTGCGTTTTAAAAACATTGAAAAGAAATTAGAGGTGCGTTAGAGAAAACAACAAACTACCTCAGATATAAGAGTCATAAATCTTCAAAGTGTCTATTACTTTGCTGGATCAGTGTAGATGCAGGAGTGTTTTATCAGTATTGAGTGCCCAAAGTAAACAAAGGCGGGCCAAGGATACTAAGTGTAAATAGCCGTTACATAGTTACTATCACTGCATCATATCAGCCATGGTGACAACAAGATTATACTAACTGGTAACATGCTCAGACAACTAAACTAAAGATATCTAATTAAACTCTTAATTATTATGCAAATAGGAAGTCTTAAAGCAAATTACTTTTCTAAATAGTTTTGGATATAAGATATTAATGATAACGTATACAGGGCAAACTAAAATGTAAGCTCAGATGTGCAGGTACCTATTATACCAATCCATACACTGCCTTATATAATTATGGACCAGCCTTAAATATTTACACTTTTTGTGTGATTTTTGTCTTACAACCTGCAGTTAAAATGGATTAATGGAACAATTTACCATTTACACAACACAACACAAAACAACACAACACGGTGTAGCTGCAAACTATATTTATTGTAAGTCAAAGTTGATTAAAAACCAAACAAATATTTGTTAGTCCGTTATATATTTATTCTATTTACTCTATCAATATTGGATGTGAGTGTTTTGGGGGTACACCTCTAACAATTTAGCACTTTTTTACAATTCTTTTTGACAAATTGATTGTGGGGTCACGATCTGAGCTTTTACTGGAACATTTTAAGAAATGGCCTTATCAATTAAAACCTTGTTCCTAAATGGTGGCCCAGTAATTGCCAATGGAAATCATCACCATAACATACTACAATTCTGTGATTCACCACTGACCATCAGCTTCATACTAATCTTTAAGCCTATCCTTTTTTTATATCTAATGTTCCTGTCTCTTAAAGTGTCTCTCTCTAGTCACTAATGTAGCCCTTAAAGGACCACTATAGTGCCAGGAAAACATACTTGTTTTCCTGGCACTATAGTGCCCTGAGGGTGCCCCCACCCTCAGCGTCCCCCTCCTGTCCGGCTCTGGAAGGGGGAAAGGGGTTAAAACTTACCTTTTTCCAGCGCTGGGCGGAGAGCTCTCCTCCTCTTCTCCTCCCCGTCGGCTGAATGCGCACGCACGGCAAGAGCTGCGCGCGCATTCAGCCGGTCACATAGGAAAGCATTCATAATGCTTTCCTATGGACGCTGGCGTGCTCTCACTGTGAAAATCACAGTGAGAAGCACGCAAGCGCCTCTAGTAGCTGTCAATGAGACAGCCACTAGAGGATTAGGGGGAAGGCTTAACCCATTCATAAACATAGCAGTTTCTCTGAAACTGCTATGTTTATGAAAAAATGGGTTAACCCTAGCTGGACCAGGCACCCAGACCACTTCATTAAGCTGAAGTGGTCTGAGTGCCTAGAGTGGTCCTTTAATGTCTCTCTCAACCCCTCTTTATGTCTCACAAATTTGACCTTCCTGTCTCTCTCTGCTGTCGCTAATTTTCTTATGCGTGTCTTCCAGCACAATATTTAAAAACAAAGTGATCTTGAAAACCTTTCATTTATTTCAGGTGATTTGCTCAAATAACTGGAACTCATTGCTGTTCAGTATGATTAACAAGTAATAAGTCTCTTGAGATATACCATCTATTAAATAACGACTACCCTTCCCATGATGATCAGTTCTGATGTAGAGGAATTGAATACTGTGACAGTGCCCACAAAATTACCAACAGCCTGCATGAAACCTACTTCCTGTTTTTGGGGTGAAAATTCATTGCATGCTGTGTTATTAAATGCAGAAGGACATACAAGAATGTTTTGGATTGCCAGGCACATCATGCTTTGCCAGCTCAAAGCTTGGCAATTTAACTTTTGGCTTTTCCTTGGCATCTGGTTCCAGAAATATATACTTTTTGGGAGTGTGCTTTGCAGGATATATAGGTAATCAGTGGCGGCACTTCCACGGTCACAGTTGCGACTGAGCCCATCACTCCAGGGTTCACCGCTGTCCTGCTGATCCGTGCGTCCTCTCCCAGTGGGTGACCAGATTAGGGCACCCCCGAATCGGCTCTTAACTAGTGAGGCAGAGTAGGCACCTGTTTACCTGGCAAGCGAGGGAGGCTGATCTGGCAGTTTCTCTCTCCTCCCTCGCGCTCACTCTCTGATGCTGTGAGGCGGACTGTGATGTGATTCTGGCCCCGGCATACTAAACCACACACTGCAGGAGAGAGGAACTGCCAGCTTACAGCACAGCCACACACTGGACCCCGGGGAGAGGTCTCACACAAGCTCTCCAAAAGGTAGGGATGCTTAGTGGGCCTCAAAAAATGTAATTGTAAGAGTGTGTGTGTCTGTCACAAATGTATGGGGGTGGGAGAGACACGTAGGGGGGCTGGAGGGTGGGTAAGAAACATGGAGGGGTTGAGGGTTGGGACACATGGAGGGACTGGGAGGAGATGAGACATGTGGAGGGACTGGGGGGGAGAATGAGACATGTCCAGGGGCTGGCAGTGGGAGATGAGACATTTGGAGGGGGGGAAATTAGACACATAGGGGGCCCCAGTGCAGTTTTCATACCAGACCCGGTGGTTTCTAGTTACGCCTCTGTAGGTATACTGTAGAGATATTGCCAAATGGGAATTATTTTATTTACTTTTTCCCTTCCAGAGATACTCTAAGCATTAAAGCAACTGTAGTAAGCTAACCCATTACGTGCGGAGGCACTTGCCCTGAAAAAAAGCAAATTCTAGAATGTGAGCTATATGTCTGTCCATAATTTACCTCTTTCATATCAAGTACACCCACACTTATTGTATATAAGTTTTTTCTAAAGAAATAGGGCTTTTATTTCACATAAAATATTTATATTTAGAATACAGTTTTAAATGAATAATATCCAATAGCATTGGCATTATACGTGTTAGTACTCTAAAACACTCATACTTGTGTTTAGTGATGTCTCACAAGTACAATAATACTCCCCATGTACCGGTTTTAAGGGGGTTTGGAAAGTTACAGAGTCAAATATAGGGTTTGCCCATTTCAGCTTTTGCACGCTGAAATTTGCCAGATTGGGTTGCTGGGCCTATGTTGCCTTTGAGGCCGTATGGCAGCCCAGGAATGAAACTTACCCCCATCTTGGCATACCATATACAAAAGAAGACAACCCAGGGTATTAAAAATTGGGTACATCCAGTCTTTTTTAGTAGCCACATAGTCATAAACCCTGGGCTAAGTTAGTGTTCATAATTGGTTATTTTGCATTTTTCACATTCAAGTACAACACTACCTCCAACCCCCCTCCCCTCCCCCCACCACCACCTCTCCCCTACTCCCCAAATAAAAAGGTATTATAGGATTTTGGAGCGTCACAGGGTCAAATATATGGCTTGCAAATTAAATTAAATTCTCTGGTATTTCTCACTGGGGCAGGTCACTTAATATATAATTAATATCACATAATTGTGTAAAAATAATACATAAATATACACATACAATTAAATATAACTAAATAAAATATATATTTATATTACAGATTAAGGAACAGTGCATAAATACTAATGCATATTTCTATTTTACAAGGCTACTTAAAATCACCTATCTCAATAAACAAATATGGGGATTCAGTTCCACCAAATGGCCATATTGTGTTAAGCCCACTACTACTTCACAGTACCCCAATATTGATGGATCCTACACAAATTCCAACATGGGATACAAATGAAATAGTGCTAAATACTGCTTGGTAAGAGCATTGTGAATATATGTAATGCAAAATTGATGTGATAAACGCAATAAAAAAAATGCAGTATCAAAACTAAACAATTAAAGTTGATAGTAGATGTATATACTCACAATGCATATCATATATCTGCTCTATAACAAATGAAAATGATAATTAAAGTATAATTACTATACAAAACCTGGGGCACCACTCAAAAGGAATCTGGTCTGGATTCCAAACATACATAGTATAGACAAAATGGGACACAGGGGAATCTGCCAATCCGGGTCATGTCATTACAGTGTCGTCTCGATCACACGACACTGATGGTCGGGATTTGCTGTTGTCAGCTCGCAGGGTAAGTATCCAGATAGGGGGTGTGCTATGCCGTGCTATGCCTACTGCTGAATGGCATCGCACGTCCTAATGGCATTAAGGGGTTAAAAGGTTTTGGTGTATAGATCATTTCCCTGCGGTCTCGCTGCTAAATTATTTGCCATATAGGAGTCAAATCAAGTTATTTATGCAACCATATCCACACCTCCCCTGCTTGTGCACAGTGTGTTTAATGAGACAGCCACTAGAGGCTGGATTAACCCTAATGTAAAAATAGCAGTTTCTCTGCATTAACTTTCTATGAAACTGCTATGTTTACAGCAAGCAGGGTTAACCCTAGATGGACCTGGCACTAAGACCACTTCATTAAGCTTCATAGTGGTCCTTTAACAGGACAATCTATTTTGTTCTAAATCTATTTATATGTTTCAGAGGATAATATAAAGGGAAAATGTTATTGATTATAACACAAGACTTTCCCTGTTATGTGTATATTTGTTTTTGAATGTCTGGTCCATCCCTACTAAGTACATTTGCAAATTTAGATACATACTAGAACAAAAGTATTAAGTATGTATTAATTAATCAAATATTTGAAACACGGTCTCTAAAAGTCCGGCACAAAAGATGCAGAACTAGATATGCCGTTTTTGTTATGCTAAAGCCATGTAGTTGAATCTGAAAGAAACGTTCTTTATGCCTAATTCGTTAAGAGGCACGCAATATTGAAGTGCTGTAACTTAATCTGATTACTGCAGTGTGCTGTTTCCCTTTGCTATTATAAAGGCAGAACACTTTGGTAATATCCTGCTTTGTTGAGAGGATCTTGTTAGTAAGCACTGAAAAAGCTGAACAAAGGATAAATTAAACAGTTAGGAATAAAGATGAACCAAACTCTTTGTAAATAGATACCTGTACTTACTGGTAACGCACAAGGAATTTTAAAAGGTAGACTTTATTTATATTTGTATTTTGACTATTGAAAATAAGACAGTGAAGCATAGGCAAACATACATATACAAGATACATAAACAATCAAAGTTGTCACTTTATTTTCAACACAATTAAACAATATAAAAGCATGGATTAGAAGATCAGCTATGATTAAGGAGTCTCAGTATCACAGCACTCTTACTGTTCTATTAAAAGGAATTTACTGGTTATTTACTACAAGCTCAATAGTTCTGTTATTATGTTATTACAGTAACTTAAGACATCTTCAGGACTTTCAATTCTACTTATGAAAATTAAGACCTCACACTAAAACTGAAGACGATATATATATATATATATATATATATATATATATATATATATATATATATATATATATATATATATATATATATAAACACACTTGCAAGTTATAAATATACATATAGCAATTTTGTAAAATACTTATCAAAACCATGCTGCCTATGTAATTTGATATTGAATATTCTAGATCAGGTTTGGTTTTTGATAGAAATATCCTGATTTGTTTATACACAAAAATATAATACAATCATTATGTTGATGTTAAAAAATAAATAAAAATAAATTAAAAAATTATATATATATATATATATATATATATATAAAAATATAGTTAACCCCTGCACTCCAACCAAAAATGATTAATACCCGGTGCTCTGGTTGCTAAATAATATAAAATGAAAAAATACCAGCACTCCGAGGTTTTCCAATTCAAAGTCTTCTTTATTCTGAAAAGTACATCAACGTTTCAGCTCCCCTAAGGAGCTTTCATCAGGACACTATATATATATATATATATATATATATATATATATATATATATATATATATATATTCCGCATATTACATATTTATACATATGGAGAAAAAAAACCAACTCGGGTTTATTCATTAAAAGGAGAATTAAGCGTGAACTCACTTTCAATTTACTTTGAATTCTAACATTAGTGAATATTCCTGACTCATAAAGTGCTTGAAGTGCCCACAACTACTATCAAGGCAAGTAAATAAAAACAAAAATGAGGCTCCCCCATTGCCTTCCTTTTGAATTAATATTCTTCCTTTCCTTTTTTTATTACATGATGTATTCTTTATAGGTGCATAAGTATAATACATTACCTTATATTAGAATTTTTTTAAATGATATGTGACCACACAGTGATGCTACATATTTGTACTGCAGTGTTGTATTTTGTCTTTGTCAAATAAGAAATAAAGATGAAAGTCGATCTCAAGGGGGTTTATATTAAGCTAAAACAAATTAATTGACTTTTTAATATGACTTTTTATCGTTTATTAACTCTATTAAGCAAAATACAATATATATATTCCTTTAGTAGTTTCTCCTTTCCATCGATGATCGGACTAAAACATCATTGTAACTTTGTAGTTTAATTCTGTGGACTTCACTTAGGTGGAAGTTAATGGGGTTTTAGGGGCTACTTTAGGAGATCGTTTTGGTGATAATGGTGAGGGTGCTCTTCTGACGGTGCTTTCCTTACCATTTTCCATTGTGGTTGATGTTTGATTAGGTGTCTTTAGCCTGTTTGGGGTAGCAGGTTTAGAAGTGCTGGCCTCCTGGCCTTCTTTTGCTGTGTTGTTTGGAGTTTTTTCTCTCTTGTTTGGGGTTCCTCTTGGTTTTCCTTGCATATCCTTTTCTGCAGCTGGGCCCATTGGTTCACCTGCTTGTCTTGTCTCAATAGGTTGCTGGGTGTCCTTCCATCTTCTTGCCCCAGATTTTGAGTTGTACTCATAGATCATTCCTGTAACTACAAACACAACAGACACAGCTGCTTAGACTTTAATGTGTTAAAAAGCATTTTCTCAAGGGTTGGTGTCATTTATTTTCTCAAGGGCTGGTGCAAACAAAATAGATTTAAATATTCACGTTGTCACATAATCACAGCTTTAACCCCTTAAGGACCAATCTTCACGTCATGTGTCCTTAAGGGGTTAAAGGGACTGAGTTAAAGGGTAGAGATGTCGCGAACTGTCCGCCGAACTGTTCGCGAACTGTCCGCCGGCGAACAATAGCGTGTTCGCGTTGGGCAAACCTATCCGATTTCCGGTCCGCCCCCTATATGTCATCATTGAGTAAACTTTGACCCGGAACCTCACAGTCAGCAGACACTTCCTGGGAGGGAGGGTCTGCTGCTGATTGGGTGGAATGTGTCTGCTGGCTGTGAGGTTCCGGGTCAAAGTTTACTCAATGATGACGTATAGGGGGCGGACCGGAAATCGGATATGTTCGCCCAACGCGAACACGCTATTGTTCGCGGCGGACAGTTCGCGAACAGTTCGGCGGACAGTTCGCGACATCTCTATTAAGGGGATACCACGTGTACCAAAATTAATTCATGATAATGAATGGATTTTGGTGCACAGACATTACCCCAGTAATAGAGAAGAGTTGGAGCATCATATGCAGGAACCTGTCAGATTGGCAAACTCCACAGCATACAAAGTAAGGATCGATTGGGCACACTAAGGAAATACTAAGAAACATTTTTTTTTTTTAACCTAGGGTAATAAATATTGTTATACTCCCTGGATAAATCAAATTTCCTAGTCATACATTTCATGTGTGCTTGTTCTTTACTTTAGATTCTACCTCTGCAGCCCAGCAAATAAAAATGGTCCCATGACAGAGAGAATGCACTGTTTTTATCTTTTGCAATACCAAGACCTATTACAGGCACACACCAGGGGTATACAACACAAATAACTTCAAATATTGAATGTATTTTAATGTCTGATGCTGGCATAAAGAATATGCTGTTGTCAAATGCTGTGGCACCCAATGCTTGTCCTCAATTCTTCTCCATGAAAAGCTGATAACAGAAAGAGAGACAGCAACTGCTAAGCGCAAACACAGTGCCCCAAAGTCCAGGTCGGCCAGACACAAGCAAATAAGAAAAATGTGAGACAGAAGCCCTGTAAAGGACTGAGACATTGATGTTTTCTAATAAACTTGGGCTACACATGTGCCTGATCTCTGTCTTTCATTTGCATGTATCTATGACAAGCATCTAATTGGAAAAAAAGTCATTAGGATTGCTAACTTCATGGAAGGAAGATTGGCCTACAGTGAGATGCACTAGATTACAGGTAAGTTTATGATCTGTATTTTTTTGGTTGGTTTGCTTGTTTTTTTAGATAGAGCTCAGTAATCTATACAACATAAAGGACTTATCTACTTAAACAAAAGTGATTAGATGGTCCATTTAATTTTTATCTCTATGATAATATAAATGACAATAGCCATAATAATTGGAGATGAAACCTACCAAATATGCCCTCCAGAAGGATACCATTGACTGTGTCATTTCCATTTTACTAACAGAACTAGTGAAACCTAGCATTGAATTAGTGCTTGTGTTCCTTGTGTCTTTACAAATCTCCTGGAAATGGGCTCACACCCTAATACTGTCTACTGAAACAATCCGTGCTCAATCGTTCAGTCATCTTAGCAGGCAAGCAATATTAAACAAATTAAGGCAAATGTCTCCGGTAACATGTGGTATGCATTACACACCGATTAGTATAACCTATAATATAAAAATGAAATAATTCTTACTTGGATCTTGCGCTTCTCCATCAAATACCGTGTTGACCTTAGTCATTTCCTGTAAGATAACAAACATTTGCACATGAATGAGGGCCAAGGTAGAGACACGCACGTCTAAGATCTTGTACCTATAAAAGTGTCAAATCAGTCTTTTGAGTCTTTATTGGAAAATACTGCACTATTGGATTATTTTTATTTTTACCTATTTTTTCCATATAATCCATCTGAGCATTTTTAAGATTCTTGCTGGCTTTGTATCTATATGTACAGCGCTACGGAATTTGTTGGCGCTATATAAATAATAATAATAATAATAATAATAATAATAATAATAATCTAAGCAGCGATTGTACCCTGCACTCTGCTATTTTCTGAGCATATAATAGCTCCATTAAATATAAGTGTCCCTTCTTTTTTACGTGGTCTTACTTTTGGTGTTTCAACATACATTATTAGAACTTTTTGTGTCCTTTCTGTTTCATATGCTATGGAAGACCATCATGCTCAAGGACTGTGTACAAAAGATTAATATTAGTTGCTACTTTTTGATACTGTCATTGATCACAACAAGCTTGGTGCACTGTTCCCTGCAAGGTGTGCCCATGTGCACACACCTTCGTTATGCCTACAGCGTATATTACAAATTTATGTGTGCACACAGGATGTGGGCTGTGTGGCTCCCACGCGAAGTCAATATATCACGCGACACAGTGTAGATTAATCAGTGCCCAGCCAAAGTTATAGCAGCCTGCATAGCCAAGGTAATGTAAGCAAAGCGAAATATGTGACAGTGTGGGCAATGTGGCATGGATGGTCATGTGGGCATAATAAATGGAGGCAACGTGGCATGGATAATCATGAGCATATACAAATGGAGGCAATGTGGCATGGATAATCATGTGCCTATAACAAATGGATGCAATGTGGAATGGATGATTATGTGGGCATTATAAATTAGGGCAATGTGGCATGGATGATTATGTTGACATAATAAAATGGAGGTAAACTAAAATATATGTAGGCAATGTGTCATGCGGGCATAATAATTTAGCTTGCAAACGTATTTATATTATATTAAAACATGGCAATACTTTTTTTATTAGCCATAAGAGAGAGGCAGTGACAATTATCTTGAAACTATTTCAGGTTTACATTTGCAGAAGCATTTAGTGCGCACATACTTTTGTAACAGGAAGAAAATGTGCACAACAAAATATTTCTGTGCACTATAATGGAACAATCCTCTTGTGTATTACTTATTATTCTGTGGCGCAACAATATTCTTGTATTTCTTGTCACTGTTTGTGTAGGTATAGAGGGTTTTTCCCACTTCAAGTGTCTGCTGTCTTTTTTTAATACTTCATTACTGAACTTCTAGTGCTTTGTCCATTTCCCAATACATTTAAAGGGAAACTCCAGTGCCAGGAAAACAATCCGTCTTCCTGGCACTGCAGGTCCCCTCTCCCTCCCACCTCCCAATATCCGGTTGCTGAAGGGGTGAAAACCCCTTCAATAACTTACCAGAGGCAGCGACGATGTCCCATGTCGCTGCTTCTTCCTCCGCCGCCGCTCCTCCCTGTGATTGCGTCGGCCGGTGGGCGAGACTAATCCCGTCCACCGGCCGGGGCATGCGCATTAGAGCTCCCCATAGGAAAGTATTGAAAAGCATTTTCAATGCCTTCCTATGGGGAAATGAGCGACACTGGAGGCAGTGGCGGATCCAGAGCCTGATCTCGGGAGGGG